ATATTCTTCACTGTATCACTCTCTATAGCTTGTATACTACTGAGAAAATAATTTCTGTGACGTGCAGAAACCCAACTTTTTAAGTGCGCTGTGAAAAGCTCTACATGACACCCATTTTCCCTGTTTCTGCTATTTCCCTTGCTCTCCATCTACAGATCGCTGCTTCTTCCCCTCTGCACAGCAATCCCTGAACTGGTGCGACACAGACAGATACTGGAGGAATGAAGTCACTGGTATCAGAGCAGAGCTTACACACTGATCTAGACAAGGACAAGCTCTGCTAACCCACCACAGTTCCCTCGGAAGTGTAATTTTAGCACAAAGTGTGGCATGCACAGCTACAGAAGAAAAGGACTGGCTGTTCAGGGAGGGAGGGGGGAAGGGACATTTGCCTCTGATTTCCAAGCAGTTTCAGTGTTGCCCAAGTGGAAATGAGGCTCAGAAATTCCACAAAACTAACTCCCTGGGTTATCTTCCTCCTAGTCTATCACCAGACAGGATAAGCCACATTCCTCAATGACTAGGAGCATAACAGATGTATAAAGCTCCAGATAATCTTAACTGTTACTGTTATCTAAATGTACTACCCAGTGCAGAAAGCTATACTTTTGCTTTATTCACCTTCTGTAAGAATTTTGTATCTGTTAGTCTCATTGAAAAATAAGAACAAAATTGGACCTTAAACACGGGACATTTACAAAATACCTAACTAAAATCTGCAATTGCATTTTTTTTCAAGCATGCATCCATTACATCATGGCTGTGTCTGAAGCTTTAGATAAACAAGGCCACCTGTAAACTTGTAAATTGTAAACACTTCTATTAAAAAAATTTCTATCTTCAGTCACTTTGGAATTAAAGAAAAAAAAATCTCTTCTGCACTCTGAGCACTGTCACAGTCACACTTATTCTAAATTTCCTTTAATAACATACAAATTTAAACCTTATTTACCAGGACTGTGTTATACAGATAAACTACCAGTTTTAATCACTATTCATATCCAAAATTTCAGGTATTGTCAGCACACTCAAGTTCATAATCTCACCTTTTGGAATCTTCTATTCATCTGCATTAAAGGGAGGATTCTGCTTTTGTCTAAATGACTGTGGCCAAAGAAAAGTTTTCGAAATCTGACTGAATGTATGATGAAATTCTGGAGTTTCCCAGGTTGGCATCACATGCTCAAAATTATTTCTGTAGGGATTTTTTTTTTTTACTTTGCCACGGGTGAAGGTCAGTGGCTCAGTGGAAAGATCAACTTGTACAGGTTGCATATGCTCCATTCTGTAAATTAACAGAGGTAAAAATGAGAAAATGTTTCCCTTCTCTTATACTACTTAAATTCAAAGTCATTCCCTAATACTCAGCTAACAGAACTGTTCATGTAATGTGGGCTACTTGGTTTATTTTTGTTCAAATTTCCATCAGACTGGCAAAGAGAAAAAAAAAAATCACACAAGAAGTATACTTGAAATCTCCACTAAGCACCTAATTTAATTGGTTAAATTATGAGTCTGCAGTTTGGTGTCTTGAATATCCCCTTATTGTTTTAAACCACAATATCTCATTTTTCATACTGAGGATGCTGAAATGCTATGAATGTTCTGAAAGTCTTCAAAATTGCACTCAAAATATAAAACTGATCTTTTACTTTAAAAATTTTCCTTGAGGGGAAAAAAACCCCCCAAACAATCAAAAAATGGAGTATTCAGATAAAAAAAGTCTCAACAAAAGCTCCCCGTGAGATTGAACTGAAACCCCACAATTTCATAATGCCCTAATCTGAGTGATGTGTTTATATAGCCTGCTGCCTATGCTGCTGTTCTGACCTCTTGCAAACTTTTGCAGGTTAACACCCTTTAAAATTCTGGGGAGCTTAATTTGATCTCTGCCAATCTATTATTTTTCAATGTGGAAAAAACCCTTCCACCCAACATCTGAAGAATTAGCAATCAGGAACCTGTACTTCAGTGAGACTCACTTTTACTTACATAAGGAATAATATGCTTCAAAATGCAAAGAGGGATGGGGCTCCACAGTATTTTACTGCAAATCTCTGCCTGCAATTATTTCTGGTCAAATCCGAGTTTTTACAGCTATTTCCAGTTGCAGTGTTTTAAATGAATGACATTCATGTTCCAGACACAGCATCATAATTCTCTGGCAAAATGCATTGGCTGTGAGGAACAAATAATGCTGGAACTTTTACTTCTAGGTTTCAGCATTAACTCCTCACTTACTGAAGTTTATAAACTCAAATCTGCGGCTTTCTTCCAGGTATGCCCGGGCGCATTTTATGTGTGGATTTCAGCAGCACATGCACTTCAGGATCAGGAACACTTCTTCCAAAAAGGGTTTCTTGTATGCCAGCATGATGTGAGCTTTGTCCTGGCTCTGTGGCCCACTTCTCTCTGCTGTTGTTGGGGTGAGGTTTATATTCTGCAGCTGGAGAGCCAGATGGTCACGTTGCATCAAACATCACCATCAGTGTTGCTGGGTATGCCTAGATTTCAAATCAGTTAATATCCTGTACAGGAATCTTGGTTTTGATACCAGGCACAGTTCATGTTGGAGACACCATATCTAGAACTGAATCAGGACTTAAATTGATTGGATCAAGTTTAACTTTGCATCCAAAAGCCCCATGTGAAACAAGCTGTTAACTTTGTAAATACAATCCATTGTTAGCCTTTAGTATTCTTACCAACAATTTCAAATTAATAAACTGCCCATTTAAAAGCCGAGCTGTCAAATCACAATTGAGTCTGGCTACGGCAACAGAGATGCCAATATCTGGATTATAGATAAAGAGGGTTGCAGAATCAATACGTCCAACAAGAACTAAAGTACACATACATCTCTCCCTTTGCTTTAAGCCACTAAATTAGCAGATACCAGCCTGTGGTAGAGCGGAAATGTAAATTTGCAAGATACAATCACAAAAAAAAAAAAAGAGGACGAAGTGATGACAGCCAAGCCCAGCCAGTGGTTAGGTACAGCCATTAACACTACTACTATGGAAAAAGCTATCAAACTAGATACTATTCTTTCTGTCTGCCAAGCTCAAGACTTTCCATGATCAGAGACAGAAGTTATTGAAAAGTGGAAAGGACATATACAGGAGCAATACAAAGGGTTAAGAGTTTCCAAGTGTAACTTTAAGGTATTTCATTGCTCTCATCCAGCACAGCAAAATCTATCTCAATAGACCCTGTTTGCCTAAAGATAAGCCTGTATTTTCCCCCTGGCTGAGCTAGAGTCTGAATAGAACACCCTGTTTGTTTTCCTCAGTGAAATGGTGTCTTTCACTTTAGGTATATTTAGCAGTTCTAGGGTTTTTCTGCTTTGAATGTCTACCCCACACATAATGTTTTTCATCCAAATAACAAAAATTTTTTTCCAAATATTTATAGCATTTTCAAAATAAACAGCTCCATGGTTTGCATGCATAAAATCAGCAAGATTCTCCAAGATGTTTGGTAGGAGTAAAAGTTGATTGTTAAGTTTTCTTTCTTTTCTTTCTGTCTGCAAAAAATATCCACAAACCCATACGAACAATAATTTAAGTAGATATATGATATAATGTATATTTAAGCCTAGGGAAAAACAAAAGTGCAGTTGCAAACAGTCCCCATTGTGTAATCTTGCATCTCTGAATAGCCATGCCACCTTGAACTGTCTCCCAAAAGACTATCCCTCATTCTTAAACATAATTAATTTCTTTATTACTTCTTGCAACTTAGTAGAAACTAAGCAATTAAAACTTTAGATGCATTCTTCAAATCCTACAGGAAGAAATCAGCTTTTCAAAACAATCTGATAAAGGAATATCAAGGCAAAATCTCAATATTGTCTTGAAACATAATTAAATTACTAATATACTCTATTTTTTCTAAATATCTTGCCCACAGCTGCCACTTACTGTATGGTTTGCAGTTCTAACAGCGTGCAATATTAGATGCTGATACAGCTAAATCTCGCTAGTTCTGATATAATAGGGACACGTGCATTACTGCAAGTCTGAAGTACATATTTCACTTTCCTCTGTGTGTTCATTCTCTCAAAACCAGAATGCTCAATACAGCCAAACACTGCCCGTGCAGCTGCAAATGAGCTGTATGTCCACTTTATTGTTATCTCCTGAATTTACACTGGGAATGAAATAATAATTATTTGAGAAATTAAAAATACTTTTTAGCTGCTAATTTGAAACAGATTATTCTTTTTTGTCTGATTCTTATTGTCAAGAATGTTAGCCTTCCATTGCAGTAAGGTCAGGGAATTTAGAAGAGCATTCATAAGCTAGCACTGGGTGCTCACAAGGTTCCCCCATATATTCCCTCAAGTCACATAATACTTAATGAAAATAAAAAAACAGAAGTTTGCTTCTGAGTATAAAATAAAAGAAACCCAGTGCAGCTATTAAGAGCTGTATCTTATCTTTCAATCAGGCCTGGATGCATTTTGAAAAGCCTTACCACAGGAAGATTTGATAAGAGTTTTTTCAGTAATTGCTTTGTGCAGTTAAGAACTTCCAAGATAAAACGAGCAGGATAGGCTGCTGCCTTTTGTAATGATCATGGTCTGTCTATAACTAAAATTTATTCACTTAGAAATCATGGCTTCATCTAGTACACTAATTCTCAAGGGAACAACCCCTGCTTTGAACCAGGCCTTTGCGGAACAACAAATATTCCTATGTTCTAAACAAAGAGAGGGGAGTATAAAAGCAGTTCTATAGCAGTTTTTACAGCAGTTTATTAAAAAAAAAAAAAAAAAAAAAGTTATTTTAATACAAAAGCAATTCCATGGTATTGAAATCTCCCTATTGTCAGAACAAGCTGGAAGGTAAAAAAAATGAAGAGTCACTGCCAGGGACAACTGAACACATTAGAAAACAACTAGAAAAATGTAGATGTCAAACAGTTCAAATAAGTCCATCCAAAATAGAGAGATTTGATAGACAAAGATTTAAGACAAGGATTTCATTTGTCTTTGCAGCACCCAAATCTACCATTGTAAATGCTGGAGAAGCCATTTCTCTCGTTTTCTGGGGGACGGGGGCGAAGCAGCGAAGATTTCCTTGCCATTTTCAGAGAAGCCGGGCCTGCAAATAAATAAGGAAGGAAGTAATTGCCCTCTTTTTTTCAATTCAAGTTAATATGGAAATTCATTGACTGTTCAACATCCCCATCCAATCTAAATCTGACAAATACTCAGGGCTCCAGAGATGACCCTGCTCTGCGCTCAGGGAGAAGATGATAGTATTGCTGTTGACCTCACAGGAAGCTGGGCTGGGTCCCAGGCTGATGAGACTCATTGACTAGCAAGTGGAATGTTTTGAGGAAAACTGCCTCAGGCCTTGACCTTATCGTAGATTGCTGTTACAGTAAATTCCTACAAGTGCTTCCTTGCCTGCTTGCCCAAGACCCTCTGTGGCACCTGCAGCTCCCCTGCCCTGGCTGACTGGCACTGGTCAGGAGACTTCATGCTGCAGAGGCACTGCCATCCTACCTGCTCTGCCCTCCCAATGTTTCCCACTTACATGACAGAACTAACCCTGCTGTGTGTGTGCATGTGTTTGCAGGTACACAAATATGTATGTGTGTATGCATGCATGCTTTTGGGGGCTGCTGCCTCTCCTAATTAGAAATCTTTCTTGGATGTGCTGTCATCACTGATATTGCTGGCTATGTAAAAACCCTGTGGGCTCCTTGATCCCGGTGCAGATGGACAAGGAGGGGTAAGCATGTCTAATTTCACCCTGCCTCCAAAGCTGGGGAAACTGAACGCCACGCTAAACCACACCATTTCACACCAGCATGCAGGTTAGCAGCATCAGTCACTCTGGGGTTCAAGCTAATTCTTGTGCCCAAAGCAGAGCCCTCTCAGTTACTGTTTCAATAACCTACTGAAAATATAGCAAAAACTGACGCCTAGATCACGACTGGTACATATTACCTCTTGCATCTTCTTCTGTTTGCTGTGAAACCCACACGTTGATAAGAATGACTTTAAATTGAATGCTAGAAGAAAGGTGTTTGGCTGACACAAGATTAATGGACTCAGCATAAGTGCTGATTTCCCAGCCATACTTTTTTGTTCTCAATCCTAGCCTTAAAGATCAGAGTGAGCAGTCATCAAACCCTGTATACCACAAGGAATTAGCAGATGAATCAAACGCAACAATTCTATTATCAGTACATGTCCCCTGGTAATAAAAATGCAGTAGCATAGAGAATGCATGAACCAAAAGGGTAGGTCCTCAACTGAGAGAAATTTCTGAAGCTACACTAGTTGGAGATGCTGAAGAAATTACCTCAGGTATTTTGTTACCTGAACAAAAACAGAATAGGTCCCACAGAGTGTTCGCTTTAACTCAGCAGTCACTTTGAGAACACAGATGATCAACTGTAGTCCACTAAGAGCTATCAGAATAGAGAATAAAATGGTGTTCCACTCCACTATGTTAGCAGGTTCAGTGCACCGAGACCAGGCAGGGTAATCTGTGAGGTACCTATTAGAGACAGAGCAGTGTGAAGTAAATTAAATGTGATTGCTGCAATTCAATTTAAATACACATTATTTTACCTACAATATATAGAAAAAACATATTGGGCTTTATATGCTTCAAGTTTAGGAGCCAGACTCTAGTCTTTCGGTAACCCCCATAACTCCTGCATAGGTTTGTCAAACTCAGCTGAGTGAAAAGACTTATTTTCCTCAAATACATCTGCTTCATTTGTTTCCCTTTTAGACACCCAAGTGTTAGAAAGACACTGTCATTTTTTCAAAAGGCAGAAGCCAAGTTTAAAACAGGAATTTTCCTTTTATTTATTTCATTTCAGCTTTAGGTTAAGTCCAGCTGACATGAGTACCATGCAGAGAGCAGGAACACCCCAACACCATCATTCTAACCAGTGCATGCAGCCTAAATGGCAGAGATGAGGTGTCACCGCACACAGTTTCCAGTTGTTCTAGAGCCATGCTTTTGCATCCTTGAGGATCACAATGTGCACAACTGACATGTGCCAGCTGTACCCTTCTAACTGTGAGACATACTATAGCCTGGAGGTTAACTGCAAGAATCACAGAATGGCTGAGGTTGGAAGGGACCTCTGAAGGTCATCTAGTGCTACCACCCTGCTCAAGCAGGGGCTCCTAGAGGATTTTTGAACCAGGATTTTGTCCAGATGGTTTTTCAATACCTCCAGGGAGGGAGATGCCACAACCTCTCTGGGCAACCTGTTCCAGTGCTCAGTCACCCTCACAGTAAAGAAGTTCTTCCTTATGTTCGGATGGAGCTTCCTGTGCTGCAGTTTATGCCAATTGCCTCTCGTCCTGTTGTTGGGTGTCAATGAGAAGAGTCTGGCCCCATCCTCTAGACACTCTCCCTTTAGATATTCATAAACATTAATTAGATCCCCTCTGAGTCGTCTTTTCTCCAGGCTGAACAGGCCCGGGCTCCCTCAGCCTTTCCTCATATGAAAGGTGCTCCAGTCCTTTAATCATCTCAGTCGCCCTTCGCTGGACACACTCCAAGGGTTCCGTGTCCTTCCTGTACTGGGGAGCCCAGAACCTTTGTTAAAACTCACTTGCTGAGTGTCAGTTGCTTTTTTTCTGAACATTCATAAGTGAAATGTTTTAAGCCAAATCTGGAGTACACTATTCAGCATCTGGCTCTTTACATTGAACTCGAACTCTCACTTTCGTGTTTCCAAATGGGATGGTAATGCTAATGATACATAGCAGAGATTGCAGGATGCACTTCAGTGTCCTAAAATAAAGCTGACTTAAGTCAGAGAAGGCCATTTATAATCTTTGAATCAAAAACTTGAGGAATTTGAGGGAATATTCTGATAAAGTATCCATCCACACTCATTCTAATCTTACATTCTTTACTACACATGTGATTGTGACCACCACCAGATAAAGGACACTTAGCTAGACGGACCTCCCAGTCTGATCACTACAAAGATTCTTATGTTTAATCTTTCCTTACAAGGAGGCAAATCCCTGTCTTTGAGGATCCTGGTGCTCATCCATTAAGTTTAAAAACCTCACCAGTATAGGTCTTGGGTACAAAAGACTCATTTTGTGTAAAACTCAGAGAATGTCTGACTATTGTTTTGATTAACAGTTTCTTCTAGAAGAATTACACCTATGTTTCTTACCTTCCAGCAGTGTCTTTGAAGATATAATCCCATCCACCTGATGAATTGCAGAAGGGGCCTTGAATCAATCCCACGGTAAAAATGATGCAACTGTATCCAGAGAAAGCAACTCCAAGCAGGGCTAGCACAATTGAAATAAAACTCTGAAGTAAGAAGAGAAAAACATTACTGTGTGAGGACAGTCTCCACACCAGTCATTCAGCCTGCCTAGCTGCTTCCTTGGGGTTGAATTTCACATTGTGTCCAGTTCTGGAGCCCCCAACACAAGAAAAGAGATGGACCTGTTAGAATGAGTCCAGAGGAGGCCACGAAGATGATGCGAGGGCTGGAGCAGCTCTCCTATGAGGACAGGCTGAGAGAGTTGGGGCTGTTCAGCCTGGAGAAGAGAAGGCTCTGGGGGGATCTTATAGCGGCCTCCCAGTACCTGAAGGGGCTCCAGGAAGGCTGGGGAGGGACTTTTTACAAGGGCAGGTAGTGATAGAACAAGAGTTGATGGCTTTAAACTGGAAGAGGGTAGGTTTAGATTAGATATTAGGAAGAAATTATTTGCTGTGAGTGTGGTGAGACAATGTCCCAGGTTGGCCAGAGAAGCTGTGGCTGCTCCTTCCTGGAAGTGTTCAAGGCCAGGTTGGATGAGGCTTTGAGCAACCTGGTCTAGTGGAAGGTGTCCCTGCTGATGGCAGGGGGATTGGAACTAGATGATCTTTAAAGTCCCTTCTAACCCAAACCAGTCTGTGATTTGATTGTCCCAGACTTCAAAATTCAGAAAGAAAAATATCAGGTAAAGAATAGTAAGCATGCACATACAAAATAAACATTAAGACAGAATTTAAGACAGTTTCACAACTCTCAGTTAAATATCGTTTGGGGATTTTTTTTAAACTTGCATTTTTGCAAAACTATTTCCCAAAATGCTAGAGGAACACAGCCACACATTAAACATATCTGCATCCCAGACAGTGTATATTGAGTCACTACTAGAAAAAAAACCCCTTCCAAATAATACAAGCAAGGGGACGAAGCTCTTTAGTTGGGGCATTTCACTGAAACTCTCAGGCCTTCTATGCTCATATTTCATCTTACAAAGATTTTTTTTTTTGCATGGGGTTTTTTGTTGTTGTTTATTTTTCTTTCATCCTGCTTACGCATCAGAAGGAAGGAGCGACACTTTCTGTGACTTCTCAACTCAACTTAGAATCCTTCTTTGTGAAAGGAAGTGGAAACGGAGCAGTGGAAAGGGCAGAAGGATGTGCTGGAAACACACCAGCAGGAAAGCATTCAGAACAGAGATGCACAAAAATAAAACACAGACTCACCCTGTAGGTTTTGTTACAGCTCTCGCTCTGGCAGCACCGATAGAACACACTACACTCCAGCGTTATTAGAATTACTGCCAACAGAAGGATCTATAAGGGGACATTATAAGGTCAGTGAAACGACTGCAGATATTAAGCCAAAGCCTCCTTCGCCCGTGGAAGGCAGGGACTGCGCCTGTTATGCTCTGTCGAGATTTTAAAGCTGCTCAGTAGGAAAGCACAATGACTCAAAGCACACCATATAACTGGGCTGCTTTTGTTAGGCTGTCACTGTACTGTTTCCTTGTCCTTGAAGGACACGAGTGCAGTGTCTCCTATCACAGCAAGGCATTACAAGCATGGACACTGCTATACCAGTGAAGCTGAAAGAATGAAACCAAGGTCACAAGTAAAAGAATCAATACCAATGAAAGGAAGGATATCTTATTGATAGAGCCACATCTGTTCAACAGCTTCTTGCTGACATAGTTACACAGATCAGTGTTTTTCTTCAGACTCTTTGATTATTTAAACCTGATACTAGAATAATTTCAATAAATAAGATTTGGACTCCAGAACCACAAAACTGCCACTCAGATAGATACTGGTTTGAAAGGGGAAATATGAAAAGGGAATGTTTCTGAATCACAGTGTTATCCTCTCACATGCTGCTTCCCTGTTTGTAACAGAATAACACATATGTTTTTAATAAACTAGTAATGATCCTAAGGCTAAAAATGCTTCAAAATATGTATGTCACTATTGCAGTTAACTTTTTCACAAATTTTCAACTCTGCTTTTCTGTTCAAATTCCCTGCCTGGTAGTTTTTTCCCCCTACTAGAAAAGATTAGGTTCTTCTGCTTTAGGAAGAATACATAATTTAAAAGAATGTCTCATGTTTTAATAACTCTCCTAGTTCAGCACCTTCATAAAAACACCTTACTTATGCAGATGAGACCTTTTTAAATACTGATTGTATGCATAACTGCTTTCTGTCCCCGAGGCTACCGTTTTTTCTGAACATAGTGAACAGTATGAGCAGTGGGCAGCTCTGTGTTAGTTTACTACTGCAGGTGAACGTGTTACAAATGTAATGGAGAAAATTCTACTAATACAATCACAGCAAGACAGTCTTCTGCATTTAGCCAAACAACAGTGGCACTTGATCCATTGTGAACTGTATCTAGCTCTCTAAATACTGGACTGCATACAGCTCTTAAAAATGTCTGAACAGTTATGAGAAGCTTTTTTAGTTTTAGTTTCATTTTGTTTTGCTAAAAGAGCTCTTCTTCAGCCTCCATAGAGGATTAAATCAACATAGCACCTGCCTACATAATATAAGCATAAATTACACAAAAACAAAAAGCCAGAAAAAAAAATCAACCCTGCAAAATCACTTACATGAAATTAAAAAGTATACATAGCATGTAATTCAGTATATTCACAATTTTTCAGCTTGATTGAGTTCTTCTGCCTGCAGTGTTTTTGCCGAAGTAATCCATATTATCTTTTAAAATACAATTAGCACAATTACATTGCTGCACAGTAACCTGGTATGATTTGCAGTAGAATGCAATTCATTAAAAATACATAGAATCAACACTTACCATCACACCTGAGAAACAGACCCCTTCAAAATACCACACGTAGTTGGGAAGCTGGTAACTGGCAGCATGTGAAGCTTTCCCATTAGGGAAGTACAATAGGATGTTAACAACAATGCTCCAAAGTGCAAGAGGTATCAGCAGACAACTCAAACAGTTTCCACATGTCTCTAAAGCCATTTCTCAAGAACTTGAGAAGTTTTGCTCTTCTAAGCTAACAAAAAATTACAAGGTTTTAAATATGAAAAGTGTCTTGATCTCCTCAGTCTGACTAAGTAATTTCATATCACCAGGAACTGGGTGATGTGGGTATGATTCCAGAGATAGAGAAGTGTTTAACAGTTAGCAGAACAATAGATGAATATGGCTGTCTAAACTCATTGTCGTTTCCAAGCATACGTCTTTAAGCAGCAATTTTCCTTCTAAAAGATCCTCCTTTGTGATCTTATAAATGAAATATGTCCAAAGTCAGAGTCAGGAAGGAAATTAAAAAGTCTCATTTCCTAGTAACTGCTTAGAAACGCATTCCTCCCGAGAACACGGATTACAACACAGATACCCTGTGACATGAGGCTCAGCCTTACTACAGCTCAAATTTTTTTCTACCTTACACAGGGAAGAGGCTGACAAAAGGTAAGTATGTCCAGTCTCTGTACAGAAGGCCACACACTGCCTCTCACTACAGAGAACTAATACTAGAGCTTGGCAGATACAGCTCTAGGGGTGAACCAGCATTTGCTGCTAACTAGAGGCAGCCTCACAAAAACACCGAGCTGAGCCTCAGCCACTTTGCAGAGCACACAGATGCCCAAATAACACTGGTTAGAAACTGCCAGCCAGACTTACTGTCACACTTTAATTAATTACTCTCTTCTGAAGCATTATGCTGCTGAACTGTTCCATTAATTAAATCCTGATATTTCTCCAGTAGCTTTATTCTCTGCTTACAGCTGATTGTACATAGCTACAGATCTTATCTAGGTACACGACTTCTTGCACAGGACAAAAGGTCCGGCTATTTTTTGAAATGCTTGCTATTTTGCACTGTTCAAAGCCAAAGCCAGACAGTTTCCCCATTTTCATGTGCCATCATTCCCTAAGCAACTAAACATCCATCCCAGTAACACAGAGCCAGAGCTGTTTGAATGCTCACAGCAGGACCCAAACCTTTCCATGCACCTATGAGTCATCAGAAAAGTAACTCAAGAATGAGCTTAGGGTTTACTCAATAGGAAAGTCACAGTCAGAGAACAAAAAAATTGGGTCTCTATCAAAAGCAAGATTTTAAAAGCAATGATGTCATGGCATATTTTCCTTCTGTTTTCTCATGAGCTGTTTTAGGCTCTGCACGCAAGGCTTCTCTCATCATCTCATAAAAGCTGTTTGGGTTGCATTTTGTAACTAATTCCTTCCTGTTGCTTCAAATGAGATCATCCAAGGAAACGGGCTCGGTGGTACATAATTTTCCTACCCGTTCTCTGCTGTGACTCTCCCGTTTCCCCCTCCCCTTCTTTTCTAGGAGGTTTCATTTTGAAATCCTCAGGCTCTACTCTGAGGATCTTCCCATATTTCCTGTTCTACTCCCTAATCACTAAATCACTACAGACACTTTTTTCAGGCCTCCCTCTAATTGAAATTAGTGGCAAACCTCCCTTTGCAGGCTCACAGGCATGAACAGAACTCCTATCACCAACACTGCGCCTTAGAGATCAGAGAAAATAGCTGAATTAAAAGCAGGCACATCACATCCCCAGGACTGATTTTCTTCTTACAAAACTCAGAGATGATATCATAGGCCGAAATCTTTTTTTCTAATAGCAAAGGCCAAAATTACTAGTGAGCAGCTCAGTTTATAATATTTGCTGCTACTCCCCATAGTAATCTGTTTTGACTAGAAGAAACTGAATTGGAATCTAACATCTGGAACAGCATTCATTCTGCAGTACAGCACTCTCTACCTCATGACTTGTTTTGTATTTAAAGTGAGCTCTGCAAGTATCAAAGGCGTGGTTTTTTGCTGGCACACTATGCTGCTAGAACAGGAAACAACCATTTTATACTAAGTATAGCAAACCCGGCAACCAGTTTCTCAAATATCTTACCTAAATGTTGCAAGAACTGCTTTCCCCTTGCTGTCAATATCCACGAGTTCATGCCGAGCCATTACCGAAAAGCCATGTTTACTCTGGATGAGTGACTTTTCTGCTAACTGAAATGAATTGAACCTAAAACAACCATGTCTCCATGATATAACTGATAAAACTCTCAAAACACTGTCTTATTTATCAGGCAATTAAGGAATTCAACTGGTCCTTTTTTAAACGACAACTTAAACAGTGAGTAGTAATGCTATGTATTAGTGCTACGTGGATCTGAGTAAAGTTTTAATTCTAAACTCTTGCCTAATCATTCTGCCCATTGAAATTTCTAAAATTATTTCAGTTCTTTAATTAGCTGTGTGTACCAGAAAGACAAGTAATAGTTCCGCAAGCATAAAGGCAAAAAAAAATAAAATCTGTAAGTTGCAGGGGAATTACATCCTATTCCATTGAATCTCTCTTCCTCCTCTCACTCCTCACACTTTAAATTTGCAGATCCTCCTGCAAACAGTGCTTTTTTACATACAAATACACCATATTGCACAGTACAGAATTCTGTGTGTGTGTGTACATATGTGCACACACATACTCTCCTCCCTTCCACATCAGGGCAAGACAGGGAAAAACACAACAAGCAGAAACGGTATTCAAGACTGCCCTCAACCACTTCTATGTATTTATGTATGAATAAATGGTATTTCAAGAAGCAGATATCCTGAGGTTCTAAACACAAACTCTTCCCATCTGTCAGGAGTTCTGCTGCAGTGGATGTGTGTGTGCAATTTCATTTTGACAGTTAATTTTTATTTTTTTTTTCCCAGATATGTATTTGTACTGGACAGACATTGCTGTGTGGACAGCCCGAGATACACCTCAAGTTTCTGGCTACCTTTCAAGACCACCTAGTTACAAGTAGTACTAAGTACACACTAACACTCATAGGAAATTCTTTTTCTCCTGTAAACAGAAACTAACTTGTCTGTTTTCAAAGATAACATTAACTGATAGATTAAAAAACTGAGTAATAACGGTAATCAGCCTCATTTCTTTGAAACAAGGGGCATGTCACATTTTGGTTGTTACTTGAAAAATGCCATTGCCCGTAGCATGCTGACCTTGGCAGCAATGCTGCTGGCAGCATATCATTCAGATTTACTTTACCTTGTGATAAAACATTCACTGTAATATGCTACAAGCTACGCTTCAGAGATTTTGCACAGGATCTTAGAATGCTTCCTCTTGGCAGTTTACTGCTGAAGTCAGTGTTTCAGATTAATCTATCACTGCTGACCTGAATTCACACTACCTTTTCTGAACACTGTTACACCTGGGGGGTCTGATGAGTGAGGTCAAAACCAGGACGCAGACCCACATTTTATTTTGTCTCAAGACTCTAAGAAGGCACGAGGTAAGCCCCCCTTGGGAGAGCAGCAGAAGGGACATGGAACTGTGGCTCACCTGCATGGCAACCTCCCTCCAGTCCTTGGAACAGCCATCAGTAATGAGCTGCCAGCCCAAACCCAGGACTACAACTCAACATACACAGTTGTATCTGTTACAGAGCTGCTGTTGTTGAACTTGCATACCCTTGTTGATGTACAATTGCTTGGCTCAGCTAAATGATCTAAAGCAAATAGTGAAGCAGTTTCCACTCTGTCAGAGCCTGCTGGAGAAGAAAAGTAGGCTGTAACCCAGCTGTTTTATTTGATTTTATTTGGTTCTTGTGTCACCACTGTCCTTTGCTGCAAGACCAGGAAAACAGGGTTTCAGCATGGGCAGGAAAAGAATCACTGACATCTGCTGGGTGTTTTTAATACAAATCTTTATTTGTGAAATACAGGTGAAGTTCAGAAAAATCTTCAAAAGGTGAAGTGCATGTGTCTGCCCTTGATCATCCACATTTTACTGCTGCTTTGTTTTTGTGTCAGCTGAGTACTAATTTATATCCAGGCCAGACTAGATTGGGTTTGTGTTCATTCCAATGAATGAATTCTCAGAATGAGAATGCAACTTTATTGGGAAAGCAGAATAAGTATAGGGCTGTTGTGTTAGTAGAAAGGGGCGTGGGGGGAAGCAGCATCTTTAGTGACCCATGTTCAGGCAGTTGCCTGTACTAAGATGAAGTGAACCAAAGAAATTCAGGATACATTTTGTCTTTAGATACAGGCAGGTTAGTGGAAAACCTGCATATGACTCCGACAACAAAGGCTGGTCCCAATTCAGTTAAATTGATGATAACAGCACAGTTTGACAACAGACAGCGTGCATTTTATTATGCACAGAATATAAAAAACCCCCACAGAATACTCAATATACCAGTGGGTTGACGTTGGTGCATGTGTAAGGTTTCTAGCAAACATATGTCTGTGGGGGGAACAAAAAGAAAGAAACACATATTAAGAGGAATAATACGAATTTCGTATCCAACTATAAGGGCTAAAATTAACCTGACCACATTTAGACAACCATAGCACAGCTCTTTTATACTGCGGTGACAGCATGGAAGACAGGAATGAGAAGACAGTAATAGCTTTGAAAAAGCCCCAACATTCAACTGCCAATTAGAAATGTGAAACACATTCTTAGCCATAATGTGTGTGATATAAATCGTATCTTGTTCATATCTTAAGCCATTGCAATTTAAACACTACCACTACTGATACAGATTTTACCACGCTCATACTGTTTTAACAAAACTCTAAAGAAGTTTGGAGGAAATTCCTCTTCCTCACTCAAAAAGCCCCCACTTTCAAAAAAAACTCTTCAGATCTGTTTGTAGGTTTTGTTAGCTATGTGCTATTTAATTCCTTCTCTTATCCCGTTTTTATGAAGCCAGGCCAGGATACTGCAGCATACTCACTAGTCTATCAGCTGCTTTGAGAGCCTAAAGCAAGAAAGTTAGAACAAGCAGCCTAACACAGAACTGCACCACGCTACACAACAATGGTTTAGACTACAGCAAAGACCACCACCACGAGGAGATTTGTATTTCAGTTATATCACCTATATAGTGCTGACAACCACAGGTACCTTAAGGAAGAAAAAAGCCTTCCAGCCCCTATGCAGACTAACTTCACTATGACACCCGAGGAATCAGCTGAAAGCATGTGGTCAACTACTACATGCAAATGCTGAACACAACAGGGCTATAAAAAAGTTGTACACTGAACTGTTACTTAAGAATGCCTAAAAAATA